GAGACAACCATATTGTACAATGTCCCCCTGCTTCCACTCAACTAAACACATGACAGGCCAGATTGTCTACTGGAGATGATGTGGGTTGTGTTTCTTTTGCATAGACGCTTTCGTTGGGTTTTATTGACTTATTTTGAATGAACAGCAACAAAGTCCCATTTGTCTTACGTTGTATTTAGGTGACTGGGATCAGGGGAAGAGTTGAATGGTTTGTAGGATCTGCCAGTGTCTGTCTCATGGTCCTCTGTACTGCTGGGCTATCCTTAGTCTCCCTTCCTCAGAAGATTTTGCCTTTATGTGACATGAGGCACAGGAACAAGATGCATTTCTTCAGGAGCTACTCCTATGAGATCCAAGTGGACCAGAAATCAGAGGACATTGCCAGTAGCATCCAGGGCATCCGATGGGTATGTACTATGTATCATTCAGTGTCTGTGTCATTACATGTGAGTGGCTGATCCCATAATGTTAGAGTTATATAGTATTGGAGGTTGAATAAAGACACAGGTCCATCGAGTTCAATCTTTGTGTGTAAGTGCGTGAACGTGTGCATATGAGTCCCTGTGTGGTCTAGTATTTAAGAGTACCTGTACTCTCCGGTTCACACCTGGGCGTTTTGTAGCGCGTTCCAACGCTCTGCAAAACGCTCAAACACAGAAATCCCATTATTTCCTATGGGTATGGTTCACACCTGGGCGTATTACAGGCCGCATGAACGCGCTACAAAACGTCCTACGCCCAAAGAAGTACAGGAGCTTCTTTGGGGCATTTTTGTTGCACGTTTCCATTGGTATACAGCCAAGTAGCCCTTGGAAACGCGCATTTGTTGTGCGTTTTTTACAGCGAATCGTGGTAAAAACGTGCGTCATCAAACGCACGACAAATGCGCATATTCGATACGCCCAGGTGTGAACCCTGTTACGGTCTCTGAGGAAGGTATCTCATTGATTTTGGAAAGATGCAATACTCTCTGCTGATACCACTGCTTGTGGCAGCGAGTTCCAACATTTACCCGCTCTGACTGAAAAGAAGCCTCTACGCCCTTTGTGGATAAATCTTTTCTCCACCAATGTCCAGCAGCTATTTATATGTAATAGAAGCATCTTTCCTATGTGCAGATCAGCGGACGTCCGCATGGTTGTATGTAGAAAAACAAAGTGTTAGATTCCCAAAAATCAGTGTTTGCCACTCGGTGCACTGAATACAGCTAAATGTGCGATATATATACATATATAGTGTCACTATGGAGGTGGAGGTTAGTTTTTGGCCATGTATCAAGGTAGTATCAGATATATAAACATAGTTAATTATGATACGCTATCATGAGAATAAAGTTAAAGAAATTGGATGTCAAATGTATTTGTTTTTATATTTTGTAGGGTCCTTAAAGAAAAACTCCAGGCAATTAACACTATATCCCTTGCAGTGGGGCTACCTATGCACTGCAAGGGTTACGTTGCACATTTTGTCTAGGGAGCTAAAATAACAAAGATACCCGAACCACAATCCAGGCTGGCTGTTAGACCAGTCCCTTCAGCCTGTCTACCCCTCTGCTGCAGCAGTGGAATGTCCCTCAGCGTCCTCACATCCTATACACTGTATTGGATGTGATGACTGACAGGACCGTAGACTGTTGGAGGGGAGGGGGAGCAAGGCTCCAGGGACCAATCTAGCAGCCAGCCGGGATCGGGCGAGTATATATCTGTTTATTTAGCTCCCTAGACAAAACAATTAACCCCTGCAGTGAATGGGTAGCCTCACTGCAGGGGTTAAAATTGTATTTTCCAAGAGTTCTAGAACTGTAGGTAAAAGCAAAAATGACATATATGTTGTATTATGTCAAAAGCCATAGCCCAGCACTTTTTGTTTTCTGAATCCCCCCACTAAGATTGTTTTATTACTGGTTGATCCTGCCAGTAGGTCCATTGATTTTCCACTTCTTGTAACAGGGTGACAACACGGTTTATTCTGCAGTAAAATCACTGCATTGTTGTCACCCTGTGGACCGCACAGTGTAAGATAGGTACGTTGTTTTAGATGACGTTTAAATTGATAACAAATGAATTAAAGGTCAGCTCTAGATAATACCTTTGAAGCCGTTAAAGCAGCAGTTTTCTGACAATGTGAACTGATGTACACGCCCCTAGCAGCCAGTCCCCTGTGCCCATCACTTTTCCTGGCCAGCTTGGCCTGCATGTAAAGGTGGACAGTGAATGTGATAGAGGACCTGTGTGAACACTATCATTATGGATATTCAGTCTATACAGTTCCTACAATACAATATGTTTCCCTATAGTGGGCCCCTCACTGATAAAACACATTTATTGCTAGGGTTGCACAGATACCAAGTACAGTACTCGGTACAAGTACGAGTACATGAACAGATACTTTTGAGCTCCAATACTACACTAGAGAAAATTTCAAAAATTAGGAGGCAGCTGTCATTTGTAAGGAGCACACGGAGCTCCTGAGATTTGTACATCTCTGTTTTATTGTACGATTTTGTTTTTATAAATATAAATAAAGTGATGCACAGATACCAGTTTTGCAGTACTGGTACTTGCCGAGTACTTACAAGTATGAGTACTGATGCATTTTTGTTTAGTGTCATGTGACAGTTTTTCTAAAACAATACAGACTCATGATTTCAGGACAGTGGTGGAGCACCAGAGCCAGGTCCCAGCTGCAAACGCTGCAACCCTGGTAGTTCTCATGAAAATGCCAAGTATCTGCACTGGTACTTGAAAAGTATCTGTGCATCCCTATTTATTGGCCTGTAACTAGTGTGGGTTCCAACAGCTCTGATCAGAGAGAAAGTTGAACACGCTTTTTTGACTATATCCACACTATAGCCCCACGCTGTGGTTTGCCACTTATCTGTTTATTGAACAAATTGTGCAGTAACCCATAGCAACCAGCCACCAATCACAATTCATGTAGTACTGGTCTGACTTCATCAGACTGAATGCCTATTGGTTGCTGTGGGTTACTGCATTTAACAGTCAGCACATGAGGGGACCGAGCATAGTCCAACTGAAAAAACGAGATCACTGGTTTCTATGACCCACTGAAGCATGGGGGACTTTCCGTCGGTCAACACTACAAGCTCACTGATATTACGTAGTTTATGCGCTCATGTTGATCTAGCGAGTTATATGCGTATTTCCTCTGTCAGCTGTATTCACCCTTTCAATGTAATTTGTTTGTACTTGTTAAAGGTGTAAGGTATAAGCATAAATAAAGAATTTATAAAAAATAAAAAACAGAAGGTCAGCACAGTTGGCAGAATAAGCACAGAATTAAATAATGACAGCAGTGATCTGGGAATAATCATAGCTCTGTAAATGATACATCTGCTTTATTTATTGCAGAGGGAATAATATGCATACTGTATACATTCCTAAATACCAACCCAGGGCTGAGATCTCTTAGCAGCAACTCCTACCAGGAGAACATTAAAGGAGAACTATGGGGTCAGTGTTTTTCCCCATAGTTCTCCTTAGGGTAACGGGAGGACACAAACTAGCGTCCTCCCGTCACCCTAGGCTCAGTATACCGCAAGCTGGAGCTCGCGGTATACTGAGACGCCGCAGTATACCGCGAGCTGCTGCCCGCGGTATACTGAGACGCCGCAGCTGAAGCGGATCCTGACAAATAGTAAATGATGACAAAATGATAGTGAAGATCTATTGGGCCCTGTTCACACTTGTCTTTTTTTGGCAGCGTGTTTTTTCTTCATGTTTATGCGTGTTTTGCCGTGTCAGCCCATTCATTTCAATAGGTTGCCCTACGTGCTACGAACATGGCAAAGAAACTCATGCAGAAGTTTCAGCTGTGAGCTTCACGTTTTGTTTGACCATGCGTTTGTGCAAGTTTGTGGCTCGTCAATGCATGGGCAAAATATGCATTTTGCTTGTCGCATTTGGAGTGCCATTAACAAGTAATTGTACCGCAAGCATGTCATGTGTTTTTCCGTATTTGTGTGAATGCGTGTCAATGGGCATGTATGGTCGGGGCCTTAATGGCCTCATCTTTAGTATACCTGTACTGTAATAAAAGAAATAATAAAGACATACTGCAAGTGTTAAGTGCTCGTTTGTAAAAAAAAAGGTTATACTCACCTGCACCTCAGATCTGGCTAGTTCCCGCCTGTCTCCTCCTCCGCTGTAGCAATGGCATGTCCCTTGGCATCCTCACATCCTATACACTGTATAGAACGTGATGACTCAGGGACCTTAGACTTCTGCAACAGAGGGGGAGCAAGAGGGAAGGGACTGGTCTAAGAGCAAGCCATCTCCGAGGATCAGGTGAGTTTAACTTTTTTTTTTTCAACCTACAAACAGAGCACTTAACCCTTGCAGTGCTTGGCAGCCCCACTCAGAGTTCTGCCTTAAGCTGAGATTCCCTCTGAATAGTACACACAGGTGGCTATACGTGGGGTTACACTGGTACTTGCATAAACCCATACATGTGTACACGGGTAAGTACAAGCGTGCATCCACGTACAGCTGCAGTACACCCCTTTACTACTACGGGTGGCTGTATGTAGGGTTGGCACCTGTCCAGGATTCACATTTAAATGTTGTGTCCAAGATTCATGGCAGCAGAAACCCGGACACAAGATGTCAGGCAGACAGGGGCAACCAAAATTAAAATAGGGGCTACCGGCCCGCCACTGAAAATAGTCTCAACTGTGATATTTACATATGAATGGGTGGCGCTGTTTACATATGAATAAGCCATTCTACCTCATTCTACCGCAAACATTTTCGTGCGTCGCTAGAGTGTTCGGGTTTCGATGGAAGAAAAGGTGGCAACCCTAGCTGTATGCCGCAGCTGGTTATCCTGGGCGTAGAAATACGCCTGCAATTTACGTATCACAGTCATACGCCCATGTGCATGAAGCCTAACAGAGAGATTTTCAGGTGTCTTCCACCTTTCTGCTTAGCACCACACAAAGATTGCGTGTATATGTGCAGAAGGTGATCTGATTGGACAGTAATCCTCCAGAGGTAATTCCTAGCTACTTCTCCAATCTTTCCAATACATGATTCTAAGGTGTTTGAACCATAAATGACCAAACCAACTATTGCAACTCTGGAGGTTATGAGCCGGCTTCACCCAAAACATAATACTCAACTTTTGGTATATTTCGGGTTTATATTTTTTTTAATCAACATTACGTTTTTATTAAAGTTTTATAACAATTACGACAATCTCTTAAGTGCAATGAAAATGAAAGAACTCCAGGAAAACATACCCTTGCACTGGGGCTTCCTCCATATTGCATGGGTTAAGTGCTTGTTTTCTCTAGGGGGCTCAGATAGACCAGTTTTACTTACCTGATCGTCGGTCCTGCAGTGGTCGGCACTCACCTCTCTCCCCCTCCGCTCCAGCTATAGAATGT